CCAGCATACTCCCTCTTTGAACTGTTGCCATCTGGTCGACGCTACAGAGCTCTGAGCACCAGAACGACCAGACACAGGAACAGTTTCTTCCCTCAGGCAATCCATCTCATGAACACCTGACAATAACTGTGGAACACACAACACTATTTATACACGCATACACTTATTTATCTAACACACATACTTAGTCTACACCTCAAATTTGCACATAATATACCTGTTCATACAAAACTGTCTATTGTAATATACCTACACATACAATTGTCAATTTATATATTGTTATTCCTTATTTACTTGTTCTATTTTTTTTTTAAATTATCATCTGTGTTTTTGTTCTGTCACTGTCATTCTGTCACACTGCGGAAGCTTCTGTCATGAAAACAAATTCCTCGTATGTGAAAAGATACCTGGCAATAAAGCTCATTCTGATTCTGATTGAATGATGTGAGCTGTACAGTCGCATATTAGGCCACAAAAGCTTTTCATCATAGTAACACTGTGCTTTGGTTCACAGGAGCTCTGCCCATCGTGTACAGCACTCTTCTCTGCTACCCCTTCACCCGCACAGTGGCTCTGCTGATTTACATCCTGCTCTCCAGTTACGCCATCTACTGTGCCATCACAGCACGCAGCAGAGTGCGGCGTCTGCGTTCCTTCGCCTGGCAGGCACTTTTTCGCTTCTCGTTTTTCCTTCTGCGCTGGATAGGTGTGGGCGGAGGGAGTCCCACCTCACTGCGTCACTTTCTCACCATGGATGCACTAGCGGTGTTGGGCGGTGTCATCAATATCACACGAATCCCCGAGCGGTTCCGCCCGGGCCTCTTTGACTACTGGTGCAACAGCCATCAGATCATGCATGTGCTGGTGGTAGTGTCCATACTGTACCTACACTGGGGGGTGCTGGACGACTTACTATGGATCAACACGTATCACTGTCCCTCAGACTGACAGTGGCCCCTGCTAGTCTGGAATCATGGGTAATAGGGCGTGAGGACCTCTTTTAGTAATGACATGTTTGGGAATGCGACGTAATTGGGCAAAGAATGGTTTGGGTTGGGGGAAGGCTGTTGTGCTTTGTATATAAATGTGTGCACGAAAGTCTATAAGAAGTGTTTTACATGTTTTTTTTAGGAGACACCAGTGCCAGCTTTGACACACATGCTTGTTTGTGCCGTCAGTAGCCAGAATGTACATATCCGTGTTTGCATAAACATTGTCTGTGCATGGCACTGTTTAGACCTGCTAGCTCAAACAAAGCTAATTTTTGTGGGTTTGAGACCTACACATTTTATAGGCGCACACACACATATGGGGTCTGACATTATTTGATGTCATATGTTCACCAGCATTTAAAGCATTTATAACCTCTAAATTTAGTTGTAGCTGAACAGTGAAAGACATGATTGAGCCCTCAAATGATTGGCTCTCGAAAAGCAAGATTTAACGTATCACATAATCTCAAATTTGTTGCACAAAATAGCATGGCTTTTGTGAACACTAATTACGGTTTGTCTCGTCTCAATTTTGCTGGTGATACAAACAAAGACCACTGGTGCAGAAATTATGTATGCACCACCAACTTTCAACTTATTACTCTATTGCAGACTATGCAGCATATCAAATGTTACATCAGTGCTAACACCACACACACACACATACACACGTACTGTAAGCCCAGTCTCACAGCAACATTTACTGGAAATACTTGAGTTGACTTTACTTGTTTTATCACACTCTTCTTTTTTTTGTGTCGTCTCCCTGTGTTCAGGTCCACATTTTTCACAATCTCACCCTGATACCTGTAAGTGAAGGGTGAAGGGGTCATTCCTTGGTTTGTAGCCTTGACCTTTATACGTTTACTGGATGGTTAAAGTTGCTGAGTGCCTATTTTATTTCTTAGTGCCCTCTGTGACTTTGATCATGTTTGTTAGCATCGAAGGGGCATTTATTCAATGCAGTTTTTGCAGGAGCACGACTTTAATAATACCCTGGGAAACATTTAACGTTACCTGCAGAAGATATTTTCTCTGCTGTGCCGCTGAACAGTCAATTCAGCCTTGTACACTTAGGGTTTTAATATCCTAATCTGTAGTTTGGAAGATTGGATTTTGTGCCGCTCTAAATTAGATTTTATTTATTTCTGACCTTTAACCTCAATTATCTATGTAACCTTGGATTCAAGACAAGGCAAATTATTTTCTTAATGGCGTGCTGTTTGCACAAAGGCTTTAATTCTCTGCTGGCCATCCTCGCCCACTGCGCACCTGATGTTCCCACTCCTCAGATGTGGCAGATGAATATTAGACTCCAGAATGGAGCAATATTACACATGCCAATACACTATGAGTTCCCCAATGAAGACTAGGGGAATACTGGTACTGCTCATTTGTGCCAAATTAATGCTATATATACGGATTATCTAAATCCCTAGTAATGGGATGAACTTGATTGGATATAATTCATAATGGCCCCTTTGATTTAAGAAAAGTTGCCAAAAGACTTACTAAAGTTAAAAGTCACTAAAGCTGAATAGTCAGTCACCTTTATATCTACTTTAAAATGTGATTAATGTAAACTAAACCAATTCTTAATGCAGATTGCACTATGGAGATGTTCACATTGTTCCAAATGGGCTGTATTATGCCGGTTTGCACATTTGGATTTGTTGTCTTAGCACACTTATGCACTACTAAGCGGAACAAACCAAGGATGACTCTTCTAATCCTTCCGACCTCACTAGTTTTAAAGAACTGACAAACCAACACCACGATGTGATAGATTCACTGACACTATCACAATGTAGCTTTTAGAATAAACATCAGTGAGGCCTGCCGTTCATTTCAATTATCTTCACTCCGTATCATTGGCATTATATTTATTATATTTAAGATGATGTTTTAACATTTGGCAATGTTTGAAGATGCTTTATTTGAATGCTACTACTACTGTTTTTATTTGTATTATTATTATATATATATATATATATATTATTTTAACCAGTTGGGGATCACATATCTTTAAACAACCAGAGTACTCTGATATGCTATAGCAGAGATCAGACCTATTAATGTAGAATCAGTGCATGTTAGGTAGAATGTTGCTCAGATGTTTCTGACAAACACTTACACATACTCGATGCCAAATGAGATGTTTCAGGGCCTCAGGTGTCGAGCCCGACAGTCCTGATCTTAGAAGACCAGGGTGGTTTTAAAAATAAACCACAAGTCCCTCAGAACAGGGACCGTTTACCCCAACCCCTTTAATGCTATTAAATGACAAACATTAGACTCTGAAATCAAGTGGCGCATGCAAATACTAGTAAACCAATCCCCTTAAAACACAACATGCGATTTCTAATGCTTGTGCAATGCAACCACTGACATACGTGCTTAATGTGCAGTAACAGAGCTAATGCATCAAATATATCTGTCTTTAGAAATGGAATGAAATCAAGAGAGCAGCCCAGAGGCAATACAACCATATCGAGTAGTTAACTGCACTGTTTTTTAGTTTTTTTTACCAAAAGGGCTTTGGATCAAAGTGAAAACCAATTAAAGAACTTAAAAGTCCATATAGGTAACGTAAATACCTGTATGTTGACTGTATATGCATAAAATGCAAGTGGCATACATACTGACATTTTTATATATTCATTTTAATATAGAGAGCAACAATGTTCTAAGAAAATATATTGAATGTTAATATATTTAATCTCAGAGAGTGACTCAATATGGATTGTCCGATTTCATTTCAAAGGCAGCAGTGATTTGATCATTCTGTAACTGTAAAAAGCTAAAATTGTGACATCACAATGACAGGCCTGGCAGGAGAGTTAACAATGCTGTTAGATTATTTAGTAGGGTTAACGCCATAATAATATGTCTACTACTATGATGTCATAATGTCATTAACATGGTCTTTGGTTTTTTAAACTGTTTAGAAGGAATTGTAATATAGTTCGGTTGGCAAAATCTCTTTTTTACATTATGAAAAGTACAGAGAGGCATACAGATGTTTTGGTTTGGGGTCCTGATATGTTATTACCTCTGAAACCCACTGGATAACTATGCATAATCGAAATCTGTACATATATATATATATATATATATATATA